CCAGGAAAAGTTTCAAGACTGTGAGATTTGCTGGGATGAAAACAGGCTGGGGGGTCTGCAAGCAGAGTAAGACAAGTTGGAGCCCAGGAAGCTGAAAAGATAAAAAGATTTTAGAAAACAAGGTTGCAGTGGCAACCTTGCAAATTCAACAAGAAGTCCCAGGAGGGGGAAAAAAAATGAGGATGAAGGCAAGGTTTCCAAAAGGAAGGGCAAAATATTTACGTCTAGGAGACAGAGAGACAGGGACTGAGACAGGGACATAGTAATTGTAGTCACTACAGCCAAGTTTAAAGAAAGACTTAGTTTAAAGGAAGTCTTAGTTTAAAGGACCAGGTTTCTAGAATAAAGGCTGTATTCTAGATTGCAACACACCTGTCTGCCACCAAGAAAATTACTCTTGATTGGAAAGCAGAGTATACACCTATCTAGCACTCAGCTAACGAGGCATCTATAGGAAAAAAGGTTACCTACAACACCTGGGAAGGAAAGTACTGTCAACACCAAATGTGATGGCAGCATTTTTCCAAGTTACAAAGCCTAGCACTTTGTAATGCACGTTTTACTGCATGGGTTTGGTTTTTTTTCTTGATGACTGGCTCTACTCTTGGTTTACAAGGACCAGGTCGCTGTATGACTGGACACATAGCAAGATAGTGAGTGTGATTTACAACATGTCATGATACCTATGTTAAATCAATGGCCACTGAATTTATGGCATCTCCATTAATAGCTGGTCAAAGGAAATAATAATGTTGCGGTTAACCACGTTAGTCTTATCTTGCAGACTTCCACCGTATTGACCTTCTCAAACATCATGTCACTAGACGGTTAGGGCTCCTTATCAGGTCCTGGAGCAGATGTGAGCCCAGTTTCTACACAGGCATTGCTGCCTGAAGCTGAAGATAAGCAACCTCTGGACAGGCCATCTTTTGAGTCCATGGCCTCATCACACCATTAGAAACCAGCTCTTGTATCTCTAGTTTTACTTGTTGGAGGTAAGCGAGAGGAATCAAGTGTTTTGGGGAGACACTGTGTGCCTTTCCTGAACTTCCACAGAAAGTCACTCTTGAGTTTCCTGAGGACCCTGTTTCTCCATGCAAACCTGCAAAGCTTCATCACATGCCATTCTCCGATTCATTAATGAAGACAGTGAACAATGACAGCCCCAGTATCAATTGCTGAAGAATGCAGTAGTAATCAGATGCCAGCTGGACTTAGTACCACAAATCACAGACGGTATCCCTCCAAGCCCAGCTGGTCAGCTAATTTTCCACCCACTGTGTAGTTCACTTATCCAAACCATCTCTCTCCAATTTGGCTACAAGCATACTACGAGAAACCATTTCAAGAGCCTTGTTAAAGGTAAACAATATTTTCTCCAGTCCCCTTGTCCACAGGATTTGTCATCTCATCATAAAAGGCCATCAGGTTGGTCAGGTGTGGCTCACCCTTTTGTAAATCCACGCTGACTGTTCCAAATTACTTTACCTTCACTGTACTTGGGTAGTCATGGCTTCATAGAGGGTTGCTCCATAATCTTCCCAAAGAAAGGGGTCAAGCTGGCTGACCAGTCTCCTGTAGTTCCATGGGTCATCTTCTAGTCTTTGAAAATGGGTGACAAATGACATTTACTTCTTTACACTTACCAGGAACCTCATCCGTGACTCACACAGTCAAAGCAAGAATGATAGAAATGGTAGCTCTTCCTACTGACACAGAAAGTTTCCTAGAAGGGAATGGGAAGAAGAGAGAAGACAGACACCACCAGGATAGGACGTTGCACACCCACAACCTACAGTTCTGTATCTGTCAGGGTTCTGCAAGGACCAGCGGCTCCCTGAGAGCCGGGGCCAGAAGCCAAGGGAGATACCACAACTGGCAAGGCAGGGGCCTCATCAGCCAAGGCCCCATCCCACAGCATCCAAGCAAGGCAAGCAAGACAGGGATGGTAACCAGGGTCAAGCTAGAGTCCAGCTCACCAGGCAAGCTTCTAGTGATGAAGGAGGGCCAATGTGAAGCTGGGAAGTTAATCCACAGGCCAGAATCAGATCCAGTGATGGTAACCAGGGTCAGATATAATCATGATTGACAGGCAGCTTCATAGTAGTAACATGCATCTGAGTCCAGGTAGGAAGACCATCCATGGGTCAGGGTCTCGATCAATGGGCAACTTCCATTCCCACCCACAGGCATGACTGTAATAGAGCTAGAGAAAGGTAAACCTTGAACATTGCTCAGGCAGGGACCGAAGCCCTGGCTTGATCTTAAATGGAATTCCTGGGCCCACGAGCAGGGGGTGTGGGTGGAGGTCCCACATACGGATGATCAAGACCATTACGACCTATTAGTGCTCAGAGTCATGACAGGATCCATGGTTTGTACAAAGTAACCCCACTGGTGACATTCGTATTACAAGTCCTTTCAAGTACAGGCAACATGCAAGATGATGGGCACACATCACATCCATGACTGGTACCTTCACTGCTAGTGAATGCCCTCATAATCACATTTGTCAGTTCGCTTCAAACAACATAGCACTGTTTTTTTCCACAGTAGCCACATCTAGGTGGATGTCAGCATCTTGCCTGTCCAAGGCCAAGTGCTTGCTGTAGTATCATGGCTTCAATCAGCACCTTAAGGAGCAGGAGAAATGGCAACTGAATAAGAGCATGTGGCACAGCCCTTTTAGTATGCAGGTGCATGCAGCAATTATGCAGTAAGCATAGCACAGGCCAGAGGCCAGCCCTAAGTGCAAAGTACTTTAAGTGCAAGGGCTTATGGGATAACTACTGAGCCAACATGTGAACCAAGCAGAAAGGATGTGGCCAGTCTAGCCCAAAGATCCTAGCCATACCAAAGCAGCGTAGGCGCAAGTCATCGTGTAAACACAGTCACAGAGCCAAGAGTCACTCCTTGGTATAAGAGAGGAAGAAGATGTAGCTGTATTCAGTGGGACTCAAAACTGACATTCTCATTGGTTGGGTGCAGAAGGGCAGTGAGCAAACTTCTCCAAATATTTACAATACAATCGTTATGGGTCAATGGATTGAGTAATTTCCTATTGAAAAGAATGCATTCAAGCATTTAAATCAGCTTCATGTATCATTATGCAGAACAAAACCCAAAATACATTCTTGACAGGAACTATGTGTTGTTTGTACTGGGTACACTTAAGGCTACAATGAATCTTGCTTAACGCAGGCAGTATAATACAGGTGCTGGAAAATGGAAAATAAAACCTTCTCAGAGTTGCCAACATTATTACAAAATTCTCTAGTGGCAACATTCTGCACAGACTAATAGTCAGCCTCCCAGCCAGAAAAAAACCCCAAGTTATTAGGACAGCTGTTAAGAACCTCCCGAATAGTTCCTTAGTTTGAGAGAAGACGTGTACACATGATGGAAGGAGAGGACTTCTTTCTCCCAAAAAAGCCAATTTTTAATTCAGCATACAGAGCTAAGAAATTATAAAGTTATGCTCCACTGGGTAATTATATCCAAGATGCCTACAAGCATTACACCTTCAGGAATGGAGGCTTTTTCAGTACTTGTGCCAACTAATTCCCAACTTCAGGGTCAGAGCAGGAAAAAACAAATGCTGCTGAAGAGTAAAACATTCCTGATGTGTTTTCTGAAGTATAAGTACATGCTGTTAGGAGTTCATTAGACAAAGCTTGGACTCAAGTCCAGTTCTCACTTGCAACTATGAAACCTTTTAAAAAGGAAGATCTGACACTTATTTAAAAGCTGCTTTTCTTCTACAGGACTATCTTCAACGCCTATTTAACTGCAATAAACACAACTTTATGCTTTTAAACTAAAAAACAAGAAAAGGCATAGCCTTCAAAAGTTTATTTCAAGTATAAAAATTGTTCAAAGGAATATCTACAAGAGTTTTTACTTTCAGTATAACTGTTTAAACAGATAGCAAGAATCAAGTACCAAATTTCTGAAAAAATATGATTCAATTCAAAATTCTGAACAGCAATGAAAAGGCACTTAAACAAAAGATACCTAGCAACAAATATAACTCTTAGGTCACAGTGAATGTGTAGTCAAACATTATCTAACACTTTATAAACAAAGAAATTAATTACAGTCTGGTTAAAGTGAGCAACATAGTCCAGACAAGTTCAAACTCCCTGCACTTCAACAATCACACTTTTCTTTCAAGTGTAAAGAAAGCAGAGATGGAAAGAAAAACAAGACAAGTCTTCAGTCAACTATCAGTTTACAGCACTGTATTCAAATGAAAAACTCAGAGTTCAATTTGTACAAGTTCCACAAAAAGAAATGTAAGAAAACTGGGTAGCAGCATAAATACTTCATGGTATCCCCTGATCTGTAGTTTGATTTGAGGGCTTAATATTTGTATTCCCACTTTAGAAAAAAAAAAGTTTCTACAAAAATAGAAAGCCTTGTTGTAAGCACAACAATCAGACTAGCGCACGTAGAAAATAAAGGTATAATGCTTGGGAATTCACTGCAATCCCATTCCGGTAGGAATATTTTTCTACTGCAAGCAATGGAAAAATATCACAAGTAGAAGTTTTCCAGAACCAGAAGAAAAAACAGAATTTTACAATTTAAATGAGTTTTTTTTGGTCGAGATTGAGTTCAATTTGTACAAGTTCCACAAAAAGAAATGTAAGAAAACTGGGTAGCAGCATAAATACTTCATGGTATCCCCTGATCTGTAGTTTGATTTGAGGGCTTAATATTTGTATTCCCACTTTAGAAAAAAAAAAGTTTCTACAAAAATAGAAAGCCTTGTTGTAAGCACAACAATCAGACTAGCGCACGTAGAAAATAAAGGTATAATGCTTGGGAATTCACTGCAATCCCATTCCGGTAGGAATATTTTTCTACTGCAAGCAATGGAAAAATATCACAAGTAGAAGTTTTCCAGAACCAGAAGAAAAAACAGAATTTTACAATTTAAATGAGTTTTTTTTGGTCGAGATTCAACTAACTCCTGTATCTTTAAAAAAAAAAAAAAAAAAAATTCAAATATGCCAAAAGGAAACAATACGTTTGACAATGGCATTTTCAGCACCAAAGCATATTTGTGCAATAAATACAGATAAGAACTCAATCATTCACAAATGAGGCAAACGGGGGAAAAAATTGCCAAAACTTTTTTTTTTACAATTATTTAGAAATACTAAGTAAACAGGGAAAAGCATTTTAGTGTTGGCTTTTTTTTTTCCAGTGATACTGTGTAAGACCTGTGATACAGGAGGACTATCAAGGCTTTCGCATCTTTTTTTCCAGATACATCTTCCTGTAGGTCTGAAACATCTCTTTTGAGTCTTTGACTGGAATGTGAAGAGCCTCGTGATCTCCATCCAGCATCTGTATAGCTGTATCAAGTGGAATACTGTCCTCAGCTGAAAGACAGAGAACCAGGTTAAAGCAAAAGTCCAAGAGTCTCAGATGACTCTACCTCTTATGCATACGACACTTAAGGCCACCTGCTGTCAAAAAGGATGCCAGAAACTTCCTTCCTGAAGCACCAGGCACCTCAGATATTTAAATCAATCTCCAAGGCACCTTTAAGCACCAAATGGTCATTTGGGTGTCTTCATGAGAGATTTTTAAAGAATATTAAGAAAAGTGTGAATGAAAACGTGCATTTGTGAAAGTAAGAGAAGAAGCAAGAAAAAGGGCTAAAAGAATGGCAGACACCAATAGCCAAGGACACATTTGACAGCAATGAAAGACGCAAACATTGCAAAATGTGTTGCTTGCATCAAGACCACAGCACAGATAACCTGCCAGCAGAGGACTTGCACTCTGGTAAGAGGAGGATGGCAACAAGGTTACAGCATGCTGAATGCACCATTTTGCTTCCTGTTAGACCAGTAGGAAAACTAGACTATAGCTAGAAAGATACCTAAAGCAAAGAAAAAAAGACAGCGGGGAGCAACCCTGCCCAAGATTTACAAAGGACAAAATAACAAAGATCCTGATATGGAAGATGCCACTGTTGCAACTGCTGGCTCCTAAAGGCTACAAAAGACCATCCGAAAAGTAATTTGCCAAACAAGAGAAACAAGGAAGATACAGTAGTGGCCCCACTTTTCCTATGGGTGTCTTACAATTAATCCTGTCCAGACTACTGGGATACACAGGTCCTGGTACTTGTGAGCATGGGTGTATGTGCAGACAGCATCAACTTACTGTGAAAGCCAAATAAAATAAAATAAAATAAACCGCTTTCTGTTTTTATACTCTCGCACTAGATTTTGTTTCGGCACTTCCTACATTTTAAAGTAGGAAAGAGCTAGCTTGGTCTTTACCTACAGTTTAAAACTGTACTTGAATCTTGTCAACAGTGCTACCTCCAAATCTTTGAAACTCATATGTTTGCTCTACAATATCCATTTCAGCAGCAGAGCTAGTAAAGAATAAGTTAAAATACTTTATTGAGATTTGCTACTGTAAAGAAACACTTAAAACCCAGCAAAGAGTATTTAACTTATATTTCAAAATGAATGATCGTAAGTCATTTCACCTGTAGAGACCTCTTCCAGCTTTTTTTGCTTCACTGGATCACATTTTAACCAATCTTCTTTCTTACTCTTGACACCTAAAGAAAAAATTTTAGAAATGTTTTTGAGGTTCCTGTTTCACAAATGTTGGTCTCTATTCAGCATGAGGTTTTAACACATATGCTAGCGCATGCAAAAGGCAATTTCCTTTGGGTGTGAAAATGACTGCAAGGGCCGGTATGTACAACTTAAGATTTGGCTTTATTTAAAATCAAATACAGCATTTGACGCAAATATGAGTTAAATGTTGAATGATTTGGGATAGGGAAGAAAAGGAGGAAAAAAGGCAACTTAAAGCAAAGATGGCAAAGGTTACAGATACTGTGTGCAGGACATGTCTGGCCCAAGCTCCCTCTTCCTCAATGTCGCAAAAGATCTCGCCCTCCACTGTCTACCCAGCCAGATTTATACACAACCAGGTGAACACTGAATACAAATCAGATCACCTTTGGTAACAATGCCAAGGGAATCTGCTTTCTATGAACAAGCCAAGCTACCTTCTACAAGTATGTTAGAAAGCCTTCGTGCAAAGTTACTGGAAACTGCCATGCCCTGAACTACTCTAACTTTATTCTGTAAAAATTAAGAAAAAAGAATGAAACAATAAATTGAAGGAAAAGTCTCATGTTCTTTTTCAGTTTAACACATGGCTACATTCTGTCGGAAAGCTAGCAAAGCTATTTCAGCCTTCAGCTCCTAGAGTCCCACGTTTTCACTGTCTGTAGTTTTGTGTAACTTGAATTTCAAAGGGAGCACATACTTTTTATTTGCAGTCAATTTACTTACAAATCAAGAATCAAAATAGCATCATACCTGCCACAACGGCTTTCTCTCTTCCCAGGGAATTCTTTGCAGCTAAGCTTTCTTCATCAGTGGTTGGATTTCTGAACAATATCTCTGGACACAGCTTAAATTCAAGTACTTCTCGTTTGCGTGATTTCTCAGCTTCTGAGGCAGAAAAATCTCTTTTTGCACCTGGGCTCTTTTGTGACACTTTGGACTTTATATGCCAGGTGGGTCTGACAGGTGATGTCTCTAATTTTGTCAGATATATGCGCTCCTGTGTCGTACGTTTAAATGCAACTCTGTTCAGGTAGTGTTTTTTTGGTTCCTTTTGAAGATGCATTTTTACTCTGTTATTTCTTCTATTTAAGTATAGCAGGTTTTTATCAGGAAACATTTTCTCAGAGCACTTGTCCTTATTTTGACCGTCGAGACCTCTTTCTCTGTTAGGAAGGTAATTTTTAGAGATGGTAGACGATCGAGCCCTTTTTCTCTGTAGTTTAAGCACAGAGCGATCTGCTAATGAACTCTTTGGTTTCCAGCCATTTTCTCCATTCAATTTCTTAGCTTTGTCAGTATTTATCATGCAATTATGTGAAAGCTGCTTGGAATTCTGTGCTTCAGGTTGTTTCAGTCTTTCCTCTTCCACCTTTCTTTTCTTACTCTTCCCAATCATATTTTCCTTCCTCTTCCGTTTGTACAACTGCTCCTGTGAAGGATGAACTTTCATAGATTTATGCTGAGAGTGTTTGTGGTTTCTTGCCTTTAAGTCTACAGTGCTGAAATTTGGGAACTTTACAGCATCAGCAGGATAACTATTCAGCTTTTTATGTTTTGTTTCTGCTGATAATTTGGCTCTCTCTTTGATGTTAATTCCTACATCTTGCCCAAGTATCTCCTTTTGTTTCCTACAGTTCTGTTCTTCAGCTGAGTTCTCTTCACAGGTTTTAATTTTTTGTCTTTGATTGACTTCAGCGTGCTTCATTTCAATGGTTTCTGACTTTGTAAACTTGTGAACATCTGTTTTGGATTTTGTGACCAACCCTGTTTTGGTCTTATCTTTTGAAAGGGACTCCATTTTGAAAACTCCCTCATTCTTTTTGGGTGACTTTGTCACGTTGTCTGCATTGGTATGACCAGCTTTCTCTGACAACACTTCTGAGACTGTGTGATGTTCTTTTTGGTCAGAATGAAATTCTTGGTCTAACAATGGGGTTCCTCTGTTGATTTGCAGCTCTTCCTTCCAGCTGCTCCTTTTAGATTCATCACCATCCTGGTTTTCAGAGGAATTAAGTGGTCCATTTTTTTCCTCTTGTGTTGTAAGCGGTTTGTATTCATTATTCACCTTTAGCCTAGCATTTTTGGTCATTAAAGAGTCCTGTTTGCAAATATCTTTGTTTGGGATTTTTTCAGAAATTGGCAGGTCTCCCACTGCACAGTTGTTCGTCATTACAGCATCAGATTTACTGTTGTTTTCTTGTCTCTCTACAGAGCTCGTATTTTCAGCTTTTGAAAGTTGATCATCACTTTTCTCTGAAACAGACGTTCCTAATTCACAGGGGCACCATGGCGTTTTACATGCTACAGATAGCCAATCCATTAAAGAACAATCATCTTTTTTTTTTTTCCTGGGGTTGGAGGTTTTTTGTGGATTGTCTGTCTTCTCATGAAGACTCTGACTAGGCTGAATACTGCCTTCAAGGTTCACCTTCTCAGCTGAATCCTCTTCTGACTGTTGACTTGCTACTCTCTTCCTGTCACTAGAGGAACACCAGTTGACTTCAGGGGACAGTTCTTGCATCTGACCAGAGCTTAACATAGCAATTTTTATCTGATCTGCTGGGTCCTTCAAATGAGAATTCTTGTCACAAATTTGAGTCTTATTTTGAGGCTGATTCTCCATCTGCTCAGCCACAGAATTGTTTTGTACTGGTTTTTTTGTTAGCATATCAGCACCTTCAATGCCATATGGAAACTCTTTCACTAGTTCAGACAGCTGATTGTTTAGACATTTAATAGGTTCTGCTCCAAAAAAGTTAATCTCTTTTTCTGTGCTATTTTTACTGGACATGTAATTTTGTTTACTGTTGTCTCCTGGAACACTGAGTGCATTTGTTTCTGCAGTTAAGCTGATCGAGAAATCTAGTGAATTTTGAGCTAACTTCTGGTTTATACTAGCAAGACTTTCCAAGTAATTTTCCGAATGCTTGAAAGATGTATTGAATAACATCTTTTGTTTTGAGGTAGAAACTGTTTTAAGAGGACTGCCACTGCTTTCTTTCTCCAAGTGACAAGTAGTGGTACCATCCAAAATCTTACCTGCTTTAATCATGCAGCTTGATGATTTTTTGAACATCTTTTGCAGCAAGCTCTCTCTTTGGGGAGTGTTACTGCTCAGCTCATTTTTATACAAGCCCAGCCGTTGCTCCTTTTGCCTTGGGACAGATGCATTTCCTTCTGATGAGGTACCATTTAACGCATGTGTCTTGGGGGCTGAGCTGAAGATACTTGCTATTTGTGGATTATAAAATGTATCACCTTCAACAAGAGAACATACACTAGAAATACAAAACATCTGTTCTTCCAACATACCTGTGGATGTATCTCCTGTGTCTAACACAGCTTGCTTGTCTTTACAGTCTCTTACACCTTCTTGAAAGATTTGACTAGAAAAATTTACACCCGATTCAGAAAGAGAAGGCTTGCTTTGTAATTCAAGCTGCAGATTTCCTCCAGCATCTTGTGCAGATTGACTAACTTTCCTTTGGTTTTCATCATACAAATCATTTGCACTCATGCTGCTTTTTACTATTTTGTTTCCATCAGCTAATTTGGTCTGTTGCAAATGTGAGTCCACTTTCTGTACCAGAACACAATCACTGCATGACGACTGAACAGTTTCTATCATTCCTTTATCGGTATTTACCACACTTAAACCATTTTTCCCCTCTTCTTGCAAGCTACATGCATTTCCTGAGTCAATCACTGGATAGGTTTCACCTGCAGATGTTGGACATTTTTCTGCATGCTCACTCTGTGTTCTCTGTTCAGAAAGTACTAAGGGAGAGACAACTGCAACTTGGAGTTCAAAACTTTTTAACAAATTGCAGCTCAATGTATCAAGCTTTTGTCCTACAGCAGCAGTTGTTACAGGCAAAATTGCTTCACCCGTACTAGCCAGAACATTATTTTGTTCTCTATTTTTTGTGTTTTGGCTGTAAGGTGAAATCTGACCTGCCGTGGGGCTGTCACTTAACTGGCTGTTTTGCACACTTACAGATTCCGACGGATGGTTCTTCCACAAGCCCAGGCATGCAGTTAGCTCTTCCACAGAGCAATTATAATTGCTCTGTTTAAAAGATGTATTTTCAGTAAGTGGCGTTTTTTTCTGAGCTGCATCACTCTGGAATTTAGCTTCACCAGGTTCGGTTGTTTCTGATGCAGGAGAGTTTGTGTGAACCACACATGCCTGCTCACCTTTCAAACTTTCTACTTTCTTCTCACTAGTGTCTTTTAGTAAGCTTGCATCCGAGACAGATGTATTTATCAGTGGTTTTTCACTACACAGGAGATCAGTCAGTATTTTATCAGCAGTAGCACCAGCTCTCTTCTCTTTCAATACATTTGTGCTGCTCAATACAAACTGAAGAAATGATGAGATCTCAGGGTTAGCTGGCACATTCTTTGATGCAGTTTTGATAGAGCTGTCCACTTGACTAAAACACAAACCATTGTTCAAGGATGTCACAGTTTTTTGAGAAGAGGCCAAGGCATTTGCATCCCTTTGTTCTGAGATGGGAGCACTCTCAGGATTATTTAATTGAGCTGGGAGTTTGCTGAGAGAGGGAATAGGAGCAGAGCTTGATGAAAGGCTTCCCTGCTCCACCTGAGGGTTACTCTGAGTCACCTCTGGTCCTCGGTTATCAGCATTGTCTACGTTTCTGTTGTTTCTTTCTTCAGGTGAAGAGTTAAGTATTAGACTCTCTGTCCTCTCTGTTTCAGATAGGGAAGGTGGTACATTTTGGTTGGGCATCCATGGAAGAGAATTAGCAAGAGTAACTTGGTAACTTGGAGGAAGTGGGGCAGTACTTTTGTCATGTTCTGAACCTGCTAAGAGTTTTCTTCTGTAACAATGCATCCTTTCGAGCAGGTCACACTTTTTTTTAATAGCAAGCAGCTTTTTTGCTTCCCAAGCTAGCCTGTTTCTTGTAATTGTCCTTCCATCTGCCCCTGCTGAAGAAATTTGAGAATTAACAGGCCCATTCATTAAGCTACTAGTCTGGCTCTGTTGAACTGAAGCAGGATTACTCAGGGGCTTTGAAGCAGCCACCGAAGAAAGAGTTCCCATTTCTTGCACAGCACCATACAGTTCTTTAGAAATGCCAGGGGAGGGCACAGACATTTCATTGAAAGGCTGATTTACTGCCAGATTTCCACCTGAATTACAGACATTCCTAGCTGACTGACTGACTTCTCCAGACTGCTGTTTCTGACAGGGTGGCTGAACACTGTTAAAACTAGACGTATTTTTTGGATCCAGTGGGCACCTCTGTTGGCTAAGGGTGTACCCATTAGGCACATTTTGAACTGCCTGTGGTATACCTCCTGAAGACTGCACTGTAACTCCTGAATCACAGTTGGCAGGCAACAAAGATGGCACAGAACATCCACCAGGAGCTTCTGATCCCATCTGACTTGATTGGTATTGTACCAGCTGTACATTTGCTGCAGAATTTTGATTCAGTGAGTGTAAAACTTTAAACTGAGCATTGGGATGATATATTTGGGTTGGGACATGTTGCCCAGATGTACCAAGAGACATAGAATTATTCTGGGAATGAATGTTACTTTGATACAATGTTGTAGTTCTCATAGAATTATGCTGTGGTATTTGTGGCTGCACAGTGTAACCGTTTGTGGTAACATACTGAGGTTCCTGATGTACATTCCTCACGTTATTTCCAGAGTTCATTTGAGAAGACAGGGGAGGTAACTTTCTAAGGGAATATATGTAATTAGAGTTTGGCCAAGAAGTCTGAGTCATCTCTGCTCGCAAACGTGGTGTCTGATTTGGAGGCTTTGGAGCTATTGGTACCCAGGACGCTGGATGTTGATTGACCGAGTAGTTCAAGGTAAAAAAATCATTACCAGCTACAGATGCTCCTGGTAAGGCCTGCTCTGAAGCATTAAATCCTTCAGCATTTACAGGAGGGGAGGCAACATTGCTAGTTAGCAGATACGCCATTTGGTTATTTCCAGCATAAGTGCATGCATTTTTAGAGGTATAGGCATTTGTTTGATGAAAAGCATGTGCATTAGAAAACAACGGAGTGTAACCAGCTTCTTCACTTTGCAGGTTCTTCTTAGCATCAGCATTCTGGAGGTGTCTTACATTCCAGTCCATCTTTTCTTGGTTTCTTTTTCTTCAGCCAAAAAACAAAATGCTAAAAAAATAAAATAAAAACAAAACCTTAATCTTTCGATCAAAACCTATTTCACTTACCAAGAAGTGATTTAGAATGCCTTCTGAGCAAGAACTGTTGAACTTAAACTGCTAGGTAGAAGAGCAACTCCATTGGCACATCCCATGGACATTGATGTTGTCAATATCAAGTTGCACAAATTATTTCCCAGAACATAGTTAAGGTACAAAAAGACAGAGCAGCAACTAACAATTCTATTGACTGTCTAATGAGTAACAAAATCCTCACATCTTTCTGCTAATTCTATTGTCATTCAACTTTTTAATTTAACAAGATTGCTATATTTACCTTCGCATCCAAAAACGATGGGAAAAAATCCAATGTATTTGTATAACAAGATACAATAAGCAACGCTTAAGAGCTGAGCATAAGAAGCACCTCCAGAACGTAATACAGGCCAGAGTTTTCATACAAGATGACTGGATTTCAATTATACCTTCAAATACAACAAAAGGAGAGATAATTAATCTGGGTTCAGTAAAGATTTCTCGTAATAATGTGGCCCACTTGTTCTTATTTTACATGTCATTTGCTCTTCCCTGACACTGTGGGCAGTTACTAACTTCTGAGAAACACAAGTCTGTGACTCTAGTTAACAGCATATCTAGCTACAAGCAAACCACTCCCAATTCTGTTTGGTAGCATTAATTTACTCAGCGTGAAGCACGGAGATGACATCCTCACCTCCACTACTGCAGTAAGTACACCTCCAGGAGGTGACAAAGTCACTAATCTCTAAGTCTTCATGTGTTATATTCCAGAATTTACATTGATTACCAACAAGCCCAACTGGGTGAGCATGATACTTCTGAATAGCCTCTTGAAAGTTGTTAGAGACAACGTCTTCAAAACCAAACACTATTTCAGTCTTCAAAA